TTATGGGTCGTCAATCATTTTATCAACTCATCACATTCAATAAATTGCTGTCCACGACCAAGTTTAAATGACGCGAATTGAAAAGGTATTTTATTTTTGTACGATAAAAATAGCACTGACACAACTTTTTAGGCATATTTTGACCGCATTAAATGTTTATTTTACGAGTAATAAAAGTGGTTCTGACATATGTGTGCAGCACCACCAATAAATTCAATTAATTGATTTATATCGACTCGGAAAAACGAAAATGCGCATTTTTATTCCATTTATCGTATTAATGTTCACATTACGAATCCGCTCTTGTTGTCGTCAACTTTATTCACTTCACATACTTCGATCAGTGTGCAATGATTGAGCTTAAGCTTTACTTCAAATGCTATCAACAACCGAAAATGTGCAATCTATATTAAGTAGAAAATATCGAGTCGATGAACGCTTGAAAGTAACACCAAAGTGCACAAATTTTGATAAACTTCAGCAGATATGTAAAAAAAAGCAACAACAATATTATATAATTAGCATTAATTGAATATTGAATTATTGTATTGTCGAGTGAATGTGTTGTTTGTTTACATAAAATTTCATGTGGCTTTTGATTCATTTCATATAATATGTCTCTTGAGTGGATTTAAATATAAATAAATTGAAGCTTTCTGTTATCATCGGAAAATAATATCGGAAAATTACTTTTTTCCACATGATTGACTTTTCAGATAGAAATTCAATTATAAATGTTACTATTTAATTCAATCGACATGAAAATACAATTTCAGCTTTATTTTCCATTTTCTCTGGCTATCGCAACTGTGTCGCGCATCAGTCGGTTCTTTTATTACATATTGTTGTCGATATTCATCTATATAGATAAATTCCACAAATTCCATTTCAATGTAAAGAATGATGTTGAATTGTGCGTCTTTCTTTGTGTGTTCACTCTCAAAATATATTGGAAGAAAATTCGAATTGAAAAAATGCGCCGCACACACAAACAGTTTTTTTAACGATTAAATGGCGAGATTCATTTATTGATTGTGTGACAGCTATTTCCGACATTTTTTTCGCTCATTTCTTCCGTAAAATACATTTATTTTTGAATGAAACGATATCACATTTCATCAAATTCTATTTTTTTTTATCGGTCATTGTTGCCTGTGCCTGTTACTGATATCAATATATTAGCCGATGCTGTAAGCTGATTTCCATGTTCGTTCCATTTGAGTGCATACTCTTCGATGATATGAATGAATATGAATTCTGCATGTGATTGAGTGTGTATAATTGTGCTTCATATTGTGCGATGAAAATGTCGATCTATACATTTTTAATTCTATAGCATACATCCTTTTGCACTCTCTCACTCACTCACTATCTCTCTCTCGTAGTTGCTTGTTTTTATGTCAATGTTTCACAATTGTGTTATTTCCGCGGCTATTGTTGGGGTTGTATTAGGTCGTATCACAATTATTTTCATCCCATCACATCGTAAAATTGTGATAAAAAAATTAAATTCCAGGAAATGTTATTCCGAATCCACATTTTATAATGGCGCTTTTTTCATGAACAAAAATTATGATTTGAAAGAAGAAAAAAAATTATCGAAAAGTTGGTCTTTGTCTTCAGCTTCATATGCAATAGAAAGAGTGCATATACTATGCATGTACATCGAGTACTACAAATACATGTATTAATAATCAACAAAAATGGAATAATGCGAAAGTGCGACTCAATCACAAGCCCAAACACAAACACAATCGCAAAGCAATAAGCAAATACACGAATTCATTATTTCAAATGTATGCAGGATATATTTCAACAAAATAAAATGAACATTTTTCATGTTATTGTGTGAATTCTTGCTTCGTATCACCTTTCCAATGCGCAATTTATCACAATCGAACACAAGAGCAAACCAAAGATAGAGCAGATAAAAAACAACAATCATAACGCACCGACTTGTTTAATATGAGAAATGTGAACATTGTGCAAAAATACGCATACGATATTCAGCACAAAATGTTTCAACTTGTAAATGCCGATCTGATTATAATAGGCACTCAATTCACATTCCAACATTTGAATTGTATATTGAAATATCGAAAAAAGAAAGATTTACTTTATACAATAACACTATCAAAATTGGCTGAAACATTTTTATACATGCACCGAACTCAGCAGTTCTTATCATTAATGAATGGTTATAAGTCGATAAAAAGGGATAAAAAATCTTGATCATGTGAGGAACACACATTATCTGTATGATTGTATCAGTGATCCCGTGGATATACGTATAATACATAATCAATTAGATGGTTTTTTTATCATCGATTTGCGTATGATTCTTCTCATTGCTTTCCAACTCCAATCGGTTGTATCAAGTGAAAAAGAGACGCGAATAGTAATCCGAAATTGATAGAGAGCACACAGCTATAACTGAAGCAAGAATTCAATGACTATTATTAAATTGGATGGTAAATCGTATAGAAAGATAATCGAATTACGCATTTTGTATTATTTGCATGACGACATCAATACATCGGGTATGATATGTTATTAAGTTTCCTTTATTTCATCGTAACAAAACCAAGAGAGAAAAAAATCACAATTTCTCTTCGTTTAAAAATCCATTCAGTTACTTGCTAACTTGCACACTCACTTGTCTTCCATTGACTGCACGCTGAATTGCCATTTTCAACATTTGTTTCGGTGTATAAATCGAAAGTAGATATCGATAACATGTTTCGAATGCCAATAGTAAATTGAATGCGATAAATTCAATAGACCACAATTTTTTTTTTTTTTCAAAAGCAAATAGAAAAAAATGAAATTGCGAGTGAGCGCAAAAAAATAATAGATAAATTCGATTTTTTTTTTCATTTTTGTTGTTGCCGCTGCCTACTATAGTTTGCCCGTGTCTATACCATCTATCCAAGCGGTACAATATGTCCTGCAGACCTGAACGCTCAAATGCACTGACAGTATTTTTATTCAAAAATTCGATAAATAGTTTGCGACCAATGTTTAATAATACCTGCTTTACGCTACGACCATATAACTTGCTCATTGTACCCATGAAAACCGATTGCTGATTTTCAATTTACAGAACAGTATACACTTTCTTTCCCCTTCCATATATATATTTTTTCACTATCCATCTCTTCAACATAACTAGTGTCTCTTCTTCACTCTTTCGATCTCCCTCGTTCACGGTGCAATTCCGATTGGATTATACAAACACAAGTAAAATTTGAAAAAAAAAAAAAAAAATATCGTAACAACGGAAATTTACAACGAGATAATAGTGAAAAAGTATTTGGCAATAGAGCGCCTTCGTCTACCTCAGATAGACACCGATTGAAGGAAAAGTTTTTTAATTAAATTGGTTTTGTTCCTTTTCGATTTCGTTTCAATTTTGTATAGTGAATATCTAGTTTTCTTTTGCTCAGCTGTCAGTGCTTCCCGTTTTGCATGGCCAACGATTTTCGGTTTTCGTTTATTGAGCTTCCAATTAGAATATATCAATATTTGTGTATAGATTTCATACACCTTCATGCACGCCTCGTATATTGTTGCTTTTCGTCTTCTTGCTCGTTACATTCATTTGGTCTCAATTTCTCACTCTCTTTGCCTCTCTCTCTCTCTCTCTCTCTCTCTCTAACTATCACTCGCTTCGATTCAACAGCGAAATCAATGTACAAAGTTTAACATGTAACTTGAGTTTTGGTGGTGCAACTTTAATTGAAATCATTATTTTGTTTTATTTTATGGGATATGTTTTGTGTATGGATGTCATTATGCTGCATTACAATGGCTGCTACCATTCTGTCGATCTGATACGAACCGATCCAAAATTAGAAACAAAATACTTACACACACACAAAACGTATGAACAATAGCTCGACGTTTTGCTATGTTTTTTTTTTTTAAACTCATGTTCAAAACTTGTCGGTATCTCTCTCTGTGTAAAGAGCAACCACGTTTGCATGAGAAAAGTCATTCGTTGATAATAACAGACAAAAAATTGGAATAGCATAAAAGAGTAGATTAAAAATAAAACACTCAAGTGCTCTGCTGTATTTTGTGCACTTGTATACGAAATTGTAATACGATATCTGCTATATTTTCAAGCATTCAAATGGTAATTCAGAATTTTCACTGAACAAAAATAATCGTGGCGCTTAATGAACACTATGCAGGTGCAGAGTGCGCGTTAGAGATACATCTAACTTGATAGAAACATCGAAAAATGAGACACCGGATTACATTTCAAAGTATGAAATTACAACGCCCGATTGGTGAAATAGAAACAATATTCATTGGTAAATGGGTAACTTTTGGGTGAAATTTTTAAAAATTTCAAAATGAACGAGCCAGAGAGAAAGAGAGAACGAGTAACTGCGATTAGTGTGTGGCTTTCCTTGGTAGCCTTTATTATTCGTTTCGGTTAAGTGACACGTATAGATTTTCCAACACGAAAATTATCAGCATTTGAAATGGTACTAATTGAATAGCAAAGCGCAACATGAAAAGTAAGGCAAGTTCATTATTTTAAAAATTTCAAACACAAACACAGAGACACATTCCCATGCGTTGGAAAATAATTCCGATTTGGATATCAGTCACATCGGAGTGTGCATGCATAGTTTTCTTTTATCTCAACGTCTTCTTAATGTGTGCGTTCTGCGTACACGTCATTCTGTAATGACGAAAAAGAAGAACGCACCAATTTCAATAACAAAAGATTACGATTAATTTGTCATTGTTTTTTAAGTAAAATAATTGCTGGCCGATATCACGATGTTTTTTCTTTCTCTTTAAGTGAAAGGCTTTAAAGAATGAGAGATATACGAAAAAAAAGGAAACCGTAAAATATCCACGATTTTAATCGAATAAAAGTGTGTTCATTTCAAAGGGTCATGAAATCAATAACAATAAGAGTAATAAAATTGAAGTGAATGCAAAATGTAAATATTTATCAAAGGTAATAAAAAATGACTCACCTTTCCCTGCATAATCAGCCTTATGGTTAGAGTAACCGATGGATCACCCTTTATTTCCAAGTTACTTGGTGTATTACTTTCTTCCATTGTTATGCGATTCTATTGATATTTATTGCTTGAGAATTTATTGCGATGAAAACTTTTTCTTTTCTCTGTATTATATCGGAACGTCTCAGCTACTGTGTGGGCGATATAGGCGCACGCTTCTTCTGTTTTCTTTCGATAAAATGTTATTAGCTGGATTCCCGTTTATAAGTTTTATTTGATAAAAATTGCCACTAAATTTTATGGCAAATTCTATAACTAAACGCCTGTGGCACAGATTATGAGCTGCTTCTTATTGCTATTATGCTGCGATCGCCCTTTTTTTGCTCTCTTTATTTTACGCTTTAAATATATATATAAATATATTTTTTTTTTTTGTGTTTGTTTAAATGTATGTTTTTGTCTTTTTTGCAGTTTTCGATTTTACGAATTCTTTATGATATTGTGTGATTTGTATTGTGAATGCGCACACCGTGTTGTCGTTGTTCTCGCTTTCGACAGATTTCAATTTTAGTCCCAATGTCAGGCGATACGACGATATGATTAATTATCAATTAGATTCTTGCGCGGTTTTCTATTGTTTGAAACTTTTCAAACATGAATACTTCGACGTGCTTTTTTGTTTTGTTTTTGCTGCTTGACTCCTTTGTCTATCTTCTCTTATGCACACCGTATTGTGACGTCAACTAGATTCGTTTTTCGTTACGATGATAAAACTTTGAAATAATTTCGCGCGAGTAAATGTGTAGAATTAAGCTCAACGTTGCTGCCAGTACTTTTACTTTCTTCTCTCTTTCTTTTTTCTTCTTCGGTTTTTTCTTATGAACACACAAACTCTGCTCCCGTATTTATTGTAGTTTGTGAAGATTCGCTTTCGTTTTTTTTTTACTTGACAAGTAGTTGTTGTCGGTGCGTTTGCTGTTGGTGCTGTACTATTTATATGTACGATTCTGTACGAATTAAGGGTGTTCAGATGACACTAACAAAGTCCGTGATGTTGAAACTGCAATGAGAAGAGAAAAAAAAACACAATGAGAATGTTATGCTATTTTTCTTCTTTTGAAGATACAAAATTTCAATTAATTGATAGGAATTTTTCTTAAAACGACCCATATACATACGCAAATAGACAGACAAAGAGAAAAAAAAAAAGAAAACTATAGAGAAAACTTTTAATTATGGGCATTAAAAACACACACACAAGAGAATCAAATGTGTATTTGAAGAGAAAGCAAACGAGATCGAAAGAAAGAGATACACAAACACCATTTTCATAGGAATATTTTATCATGTCAAGTGTTTTGAATAGTCCTACTGCATGTTTCATATCAATTCGACAACAAAAACAAAGCAACGCGATGAAGACGATGAAATAAAAAAAAAACAAAACTCATAGAGCATTCATATGCTACAGAATTGATTGTGCGAGTGCAGCCTCAAATGCTTTTTCCATGTTTGCATTGTACTTCATAATTGTTATATTGCCGATGCATATTTCATTGTTCGTTTGGAATACAAAATGAAAACGAAACATAAACAAAAATCTATTGAAAGAATTTCAACAATTATTTAATATTCGCAGATGTATGCGAGGTGATGTGTGCGAGCCAGCAACAATGCAAACGCATTACATACAAATTATAAAGCGTAACAAAAGAATATATAACGGCGACGGGTCGGTTTTTTTTTTTCAGAGCGAATCATGTGTAGTTTGCATATGCTATGCGCTGGCAGACAAAAGAAATTGGCGAATGAATAAGAGCGAACGAACGAATGAAAAGGAAACATAAACAGAGTGTTGCAAGGAAGCACAAAAAATGCCTTTGTTTCGCTTTCATTCTGCGCTTACAAAGATAAGCGAGCGCAATGGAACCCACCAATGCGCCATATTTCATATGAATGCTCGTTGATTTTTGTTTTCTTCTTTTTTTTCAATGCCTTCAGACAGAGAAAGAATGGAAAAGATACGAAAAAAAAACGATGCAGTGGCTAAGCGCTTACGCTATCGCAATTCTTTTTTTTTGTAGCGTATTTATTTTCTATCAGTGTGTTGTTATGAATTGCCGCTGAACCTGCAACATAAAAGAGATTGAAAATATCCAAAAGATTTTTCTGTAAAATGATGAAAAACATTTTTTTTTTTTGAGAAAAAAGAAATAAATTTTGGCTTGAAATCAGTTCGAAATGTCAAATGCTTGTTTCAATGGGTAGATGGATGATTTTGACCGGATTTTGGAATAATATATGCCATTTCAAAGTAATTCATTGCCCGACTAATCTTGAGAAAATTGAGGGTTTTGAACATATAATTTGGTACAATGTCAATTGATTCACATTTCCCTGCACTTTGGATGGCATTATGCTACATTGCTTGAAATGTCTCTTGTTTTTCGTGATGTATTGTTTCAATGAAATTGGCATAAGTATTTCTGCTGGGCATGTGTGAGTGCATGTGACCAGTGCACAATATGCATTTCATTAATTTGAATTGAAACCGTGCTTTAACGATGTTTAACATAGCAAACGAACAAGAGCACGCCAACAATCAGGTGAAAGGTTATACGAGGAAAGAGAGATTGAGAGAGATAAGGATGTGAAGAGGCTAGGAATTGGAGAGTCCATTATCAAAAGATTGCAATAAACACAAAGATGGTTTTTCATACACATTCATTGTACGATAGACACAAAATAAGAATGAGTCAATGCTGGCAGCGGCCAGAAAACTAACAACGCACCAACATTTCGCTCATTTAGAATGCCAGAATTTTCTCATCTCTGTATCCGTTCTTGTGCTCCTCTTTAGCATGGACATAGAGAGAAAGGGAGATACAGTATGCAGACGTACCTGCTGCGCAAGCACTTAGGAGCTCTTTTTGTTTCCGCCGTTTCAGGCTGCTTCTGTTCTTATTTGTATATTTGGCGTAACCGTATAAACTGCGGAACAAATACCAACATCTAGTATTATATACCAATATATTGGAGATGCATATTACTTGATGCATTGCATTTCATTCTTTCATAGAGTTTTTCGATTCGCTTTTTTTTATTCCGTTTCTGTGCTTGCTTTAATTTCTGGTATTCAAAATTTTGCTCATAAAATGCAAACGTTTGAATACCGTTAATATAAACATGGTTGTATGCATTGTCGTTTTGCCTGAAGAAAAACAAATGTGCCGAAACGGCAGTGCTTTGAGAGGAAGTAAACTCAGTATCAGCAATGGCATCATAGTAATACAATGGCAGCAAAAAAAAACTCGTGGAAAAATGACATTTTACGTTCTACCTAGCATATACCTTTGTGTTTTCATGCTTCTTCCCTTTTGAAATTGAGCACATCAAAAGAGCTAAGAAATGAATTGCTCAATGTTTGACAGCAAAAGCCATGAAAATGAACACACACACGCCCTCTCTCTCTCTCTCTCTCAAATTCCGAAAAAAGAAAACGGGAAAGGGAGTCAGCTAGACGCAATTTTATGTTTCCCTTTTTCGAGCTCAACATAAACTCAGCATGATTATGGAAAATAAAAGAAAATACTACAAACTTGAAATAAATTTGTTGCAATGTCCGATGGCATCAGCAGAAGATGAAAGAAATTGTAAGAATGAAGTTTTTCAAGCGCGTCAACAACAGCAAGCAATGCCAACAATTGCACAAGAATGCAACGCAGCGATGACAACAACTTTGGTAAATTTTTTGTATGCATTGTGTTATGCGCTGCCCGCATCCAATGAATTTTACTTGGTACTGCAGGCCGTTACAATCATTATTATGACAACGTTAATGCTAATTTAACAGCATGGTAAATGGTATGAAAAGAAACCATCAGCCACATTTCATAAATACGTCTCTTTTTGTTTTAGCACATTAAAAAGAAATGAACGTTTACGTTCAACTATGATGCTTTTGACTTTCGACATTTTTCATAATCTATCAGTCATTTTGAAATCGTTAAATTAAACGAATGGAATTTTGGTCAATCACAATTCTTTTTCGATGTCATTGATTTAATAATGTTGAGTTGCTGATAAGCTATTCCGATCGACTACAATTTAAAATTGTTTATTCACTGCCATGGTATTGTATTGAATAAACGTCGGAAGAAGACAGTTGAAAGTTTAAAAAAAAAAAATGAATCTCTCTAACATACTATTAATGGCGGTCGTATGGCAAAAAGGCGTGCGTGCACAAAATATAATTAGAATTGCATTGTCATTAACATGATTAGCCGATCATTATCATCATGTTTATCATTGAATTGCATTGCATTTTTATGTGCAGCCAAACCTGAATTACAACTTTGTGACCATAAAAGAGTGAAACAAAAAATGGTGTGCAGTGGATAGAGAAAAAAAAGTGTCGTATATGTTGAATTAATCTCACTTTGTTCTCACTATCTCTATTCGACATAAGGCAAGTTTAGTTTTTGTGCTGTGTTAACTGTTATTAAGATTACAAATGCAGAGACATAATTTATCAGCATCTCTAACGGCGATGCAAAAACTGATTATAAAATAAAATATATCGACAGTTTTGCATAGCATTGAAATTGTACCGTTTGAAAATGATTCAATTTATAATAGAACGAAGAGGCAACAGTACAAATGGTTTCGATTTAAATGTTCAAAATTCGATCAAATGCCATACAATGTTTTAAACACTGGCGTTTAATTCGTGTTCAATTGGCGAAAATGAAAGCGTGAATTAATTGCTTATCTTTGATATGAATGCGTAACCACAAATGGTTGTATTTTAAGTGCTTCAGAGAAATTTGTTGGTTTTCAGGATTCGGGTTAAAGTGAATAGAGCGAATAATCAACGAGTATGGTTTCGGTGCAAACATTCACTCAATTATTCACGATTCTCTTGCGGTAAGAGATGCGATCTCACCATACAATCATCATCGTCATCATCATCATGATTGTCGTCATCGTTATCATGACTTGCCTGTGAGAAAAATCAGAAATAGCCAAACGCTGAAACGCCAATGTTGTCTGAGGCTTTTTCATTTTTTTCCATGTTCATCATTTTACCTTTTTTCGGTCTGCTGCTGTAGACAACACAACAAGAGCAAAAAAAAAACAAACGCTCACGTTCAAACAAGATTATTTCTAAAATATTTATTGGAATCATTGTAATTATTTATTACATTTTTTTTCTTTCGTCGGTTGACCATTCCGATAAACAGCGATTATATCGCCTGAGAATGAAAAATAAACCGTTAAAATACAATTACCGAAAATGCAATAGAACGAAGCGAATAGACGAAATCGCTCAACGACTGTAATCGCACAAAATGGAGCGGGTAAGAGAAAGAGATGGAGGAGAGAGACGTGTTAGTGAATGAAGCGTTTGAATCGAACCCAGGTAAAAAGAAAACACAGTGCTTTGGTACAAACTGTCTAATGTATTTGATTTGACATTATTTTATGTTGAATGCCCTTGCCATCGTGGTAAAAATGGCACCGAAGCGATATTTCATGGCGATCTATGCTTTGGAGCGACTCGCATTCAATTCAATTTCTGTGCGCTCTTTTTCTCTCTCTCTCGGTCTCTCTGTATATGCTCATCGCTTCATGTCTGCATCCATATATTGTATTGTATCTTTTCACGGAATGAATTCCCTGAAGCGACCATAGTACAACAACACAACAAACATACACCGACAACGAAACGAAATAAAAATAAAGTGAAACAGTAAAACCATGAGCAATTTACGAGCATTTCATCTTCTTCGTTTGCTTTGCAACAAACAACACGTTTTGTGCTAGCAAAACATTACTTTATTTCAATCAGTAACTAGTATGAGCGCAGCACAACGACTTTGTCCTTACATTTGGGTATATATGTATGTTATTGTTGTTGGTGGTGGTGGCGGCGGCGGCGGCGGCGGAGGCAACGGCCAATGTTCGTTGCTCACTTTATCATCGGCCCGAATCGTGCAAAATGCTCATATCATCCATATCATATTTGCAAGATACACGCAAATATTCTTCACAAACTTG